GTGGTACTTTGTTAAAGCAGCTTAAGCAGACTGAGACACAGCCATTACTCTGATCCCTGTTAAAGCATCAAGTTGTAACCAGCACCGCGTTACCACTGTCAGGGTGCAGGGGCAAATTCCTTACCCCTGGGTTCTCCTTGGACTGGACAAGTAATCAAAGCAGCATTAGATGGGTTAGCAAAGGAAAATCAATTCCATGATGTGCACATGGAGGAGAACAGTGATTTTCTTGGTCCAGATTTCAGTGTTAAATCCCAAGCTAAAGAGCCCTGGGTGTGCCAAGAAGAGAGGTGGGGAAGTCTTCACATAAGGGCATAGAGCATGACATCATCTTTATGAATAAACTGATGAGTTTCTCAGCATGTGCTGTCACAACTAGATGACACCCCCCCCCAAATTGTAGTCTCCTAGATCATGAAAAGGAGGAGCAGAGATTGTTTTAATTAGAGAAAGAAAGGAAAAAATCTTGGAAGTGACAATCCCTTCTTTGATTTGAGAAAAAGTCAGGAACTGAGGGAAGGAAGAATTCCTCCTTATCCTCCAGGGTCTCCATTGCTCTCATCTCAAAATAATTTACGCTCTTTAAAAGGAAAAATACCGATGGCTTCACTCATAGCAGGAGTATAAAGGACCAGGGAAGAAAATAATAATAATAATGAGCAACTATATACTAGAGACATTTTACGAGGGTACAGTGGGGAAGGGATCAAAAATGGGGGGAGGGGGAAGTGCACTGGACCATGGTGATAGCACACCGTTGGTTTGGTGATGGGAAGCCCACGGGGATTACGACTGAGATGGAAAAAGGCACAAAGTGATGTAAAAATAAACTATTATATTATTTCTTTAAATTCTGTTAAATGTGCTCATGTTGAACTATATTTTTAGTCACTGTGATTTTTCCCTTTAAATGGATAAATAAAACTATGAAATTATTCCTGGGAAATAAATAATTTACATTCTTTAATATTAAGTTTCCTCTTGAGGCCTTTAGGCCTTCGATTGAACTTAGTTCCACATACCAAGGTGACATTTATTGAAAAAGGCCTTCATTCGGATATATTAGAAAAGAGTCTAACTGACCCTTTTAGGGAGATTTATACCACGGCAAATGTCAATACTGTAATGTTGGAGAAGGCAATCAAAAGTAGGTGACTATTAATGACCTGGAAGTTGGACAATCTGAGGCTCTTTATCACCCCCACTGCACACTAGATTGTATTTTCCCACTCCCAGAAGTGCCAAAGGATATATCCCTAAGATAAAATGTACTGCTGAGAAAGGACATAGGAGCAAGCTGAAAGAGCTCCCAATGACCAAGGTTAGAACAATCTGAGCATTCAGAAAAAATAAAAATAAAGCAGTGTTATATTAGAACACAACACAAAATAAATACCAACTTGCCACACTGATGTGTGTATACTGAATATATTATACTCAATTAATAAGTAAATGGAGAAGAATAGACACGAATATAGAATTCCAAATAGTTTATGTAGATACTCTGCCCTTTAAGAAGTGGAACATAAGGCCCTCCCTGGTGGCACAGCAGATTAAAGCACAGCACTACGAAGCTAACTTCAGCAGCTTTAGCCTGAATTCGATCCCGAGCTGGGGAGGTGACCCACATGGCACAGAAGACCTCTGATGTCTCCCCACTGCCCCCGCCTCAGCAGTGGACTTCGTCAATCTACCTGTTCTGCTCCCCACTCTGTCTCTGGTGAATCCTCTCACCGCCCCTACACCTCTGGCCTGTACCCCAGTCTATATGCATAAATAAATAAGTCTTTAAAAAAAAAAAAAGAAAGTGGACCGTAATTGTCCTGCTTACGTGTGAACCATGCAGGGAAATTAGGGACAGATGCTACCTGGGTCGGATCAACAAGGTCAACCCCAAGATACACCTTCCTCTTCTAAATTCTGTTAATTGCATTGTTTCATTTTTATGTTTAGTTCTTTTCACATTTCTGTCCCTTTATTTTGTATATGAGGTATAAATGTAGCATCCTTTCATCCAAATGATTTGCTAACTGTGTACACCATTTGTTGAATAACAAATGACTTAAAAGGTCAGTATTATCAGATCCCTCTGATTTCCTCTGATTTCCTCTGACTTAATCCCTCTGATTTCCTCTGACTTAAAAGGTCAGTATTATCAGATCCCTCTTGTCCCTCAGAGGGATTAGCCTATCCCTGGCCTAAAATTTTTGTTTGTTTGTTTGTTTGTTTGTTTTTTGTCTTGGATTCCCTTAATTTACTGAGAGATGACAAGCTATTGAAACAAAACCAAAATTTGGATAATCCATAAGGGGTCTTGTTCGATGGAAAGGGGCTGAAATAGGAGGAGACAGGGCTTCTGTTCAGGGTGGTGCCTCCCGACAGAAGGGTTTAGTGGTCATGTGGTGCTGGACCCACCTGGAGACTTCAGGTCAGCAATGCTGCCTTTGGGCTAGCAGGTGAAGGCGATGGTAATGGCATAGCAGTACCCAAGCCCACCTTCTCCACGTGGAGAGGTTTCTCCTACCACGAAGTGAATAGGAGACCTACTTTGTCATATGCATGTGCCTCTATTTCTGAGTGAGCTGGTGTCCGTGCTGTTGATGCTGGCGAAGGCTGTGAACTTTGTCAGGATGGCAAGGACCCACTTATGCCAAAAGCTTGGGCAATGGCAAGCTGGACCTTCTGCCACAAGTCTAGGTATGACATTTTCTGTGAAGATGTTTGGTATTTTATCCCTAAAGGATCCATCTTGGTTCACAGAGGGCTTCCTGACAGACAAGACCCACCTGTGCATGTCCAGGGTGGACACCCTCTGCCAGATCCTCCCAAGGATAGCCAGTTCTTAGCTATGCTCAGAAGCCCCTGTGCTTCATCCGTGGTGCTGGTGAGATTGGTGATGCTCCAGAACATTTCCTAGGGGAGCAGCCTGCTCAGGGCACAGCCTGCTCACGCTCAGCATCAGGGTGACCCTCAGGCTCCTCAGGGACACCCCTCCCCTGAAGTGCCATCAGCCTGGCAGCAGCAGAAACTGACTGCATGAGAGAGCAGAGATGGAGCTGCCCAACTGTGAGGGGAAGAGCTAGAAGTAGAGGTTACTGGCCCTCCGTCAACAGGGTCGCATGTGATTTCTCCTCAGCCTATAGTCCATGTGACTCTCCTACTTCCTAGATTTTTTTTTTATTTTATAAAAGTTTATTTTTACATCATTTTGTACATTTTTTTTCCATCTCAATTGTAATCCCCATGGGTTTCCCATCACCAAGTCACCCGTGTGCCATCACCATAATCCCGTGTACTTCCTAGATTTTCTGTCACTGGTTAGCCAATAGCCCTCCCAAAATAGGGCTAAAGATGCCTGGAGCATGGGGCTCTGGTGAGGACCAGAGAGAAGATAGCAGCTTCTAAAAATATCAGCTCCTATCCATCCCTTTTGCATTTCCTCCCTTCACATGCTGACAGGCCTTCTGAAAATGGGAGGCTCCTCAGCCGAACCCTGCAAGGATGTACAGATGCTGGGGCCCACAGGAGACTAGAATGTCCTCAAGAAGATCAGGATGATCATGTTCCTTGAGACTCATCCTCTCTCCCTGCACAGCCCCTTCCCATGAGCTGGGAAGGTATGTAATGTGTCTCTCCTTCCCCCAAATCCACCCATGATTGCCCTGGAAGTGACTACTTCACAGGCTTTAGCAAGAGGGGAGGAAATACAAGTGCTGAGCTTGCACTGTCCTTCTGGCTTGGGGGAAATTGCTCCCCACTCCTCAAAGGTACTCCTAAGGCCAGGACACACTATAGCGTGCCTACCTCTTTGAAAAGGGAGAGGGAAGCCACGAGATAACACCTCTACCACGCAGAGTACTAACCACTACACGGTGCCGGGCAGCAAAATAATGTCTCCTTCACCCTCCTACTCACGTATTACTAGTGTACTTTTAAAAATTAATCTGTACTTTTAAAAATTAAGATGCAGCACTGCAAGCCAGCCGCAGCCACTTCAATGCAAGTTCAATTCCCAACCCCGGAGGAGATCCACATGGCGCAGCAGACCTCTTCTGTCTTGCCCGCTGCTCCCCTGAGCAGTGTACTTCATTAATCTGCCTACTCTGCTCCCCACTCTCTCAGTAGGTCTTCTCACCACCCCTGTACCTCTGGCCTGTACCCCAGTTTTGTGTGCATAAATAAATAAATCTTTTTAAAAAATTAATCTGAAACCAGATTTCCAGAACAGGACATGTGACATAAAATGCCATTTCTGCTCAACAGATATTTATTAAGCACCACTGTGCACAATACTAAACAAGTTGCTTTCCTCTTCCCTGTCGCTCGTGCTTCTTCAGGATGCCTTAGATGGGCTGATTTGAGGCCCAGCTTTGTGCTGCAAGTGTCAGAGGTGGTGGATCCTGCCCTAGGACCACCTATGCTTGCGGGCACACAGTGGCTTCGACTGGCAGTGACAGCCTTAATGATTATTGAAGCTGGAGATCATTCTCCATGAGGCTCAGTCCATGACCAGAGTGTGTGTGAGAATTCTGTCACCTGCCCTGCCCTGCCAGTAGGAATTAAAGAGGACAGAGTTTCATGGGTAAATACCAATGTCTCTCCTTGGCCTCCGTTGATGTGTGCAATCCAGTCCTGGATGGGGACACATTTTCTGTTTGGAGAGTGCTAAAGACTTATGGACTCCAGGTTTGGAAAGTTTGCCAAAAGCTTTGAAAAAAGGAAACGGTGATTGAGAAATGGCAGCTGTGGAAGAATTCTGAGTTTGGAACAGTGTAAGGAGTGTATGATTCCTGGACCCTCTGAGACTCAGGTCCCAGAATGAGGAGGCGGTCTCATGCTGACAGGTTTTGAATACTTGGAAACCAGGTACCTGTGCTGGGGCTGAAAGCCATGAGACTTCTTCCAAGCCTTGAGGAAGAGGCTGAGTCAAGGACTCTCACAAGGAACCCGTAGGCCCCCTCAGTTCAGCTGGGTGAGCAGGCTCAGTGGCTCTAGCTCCTTCAGAACTTCTGCCCACTGTCAACAGGCTGTTCAAAACTGTGATTGTTGTAAGTGTTCTCAGAGATGCAGCTGGCCGTGCCCGTTGGGGAGGGGTGCTTTGGGCAGGGAGCTGTCGTAGTGACAGCTGTCTCTTCTGCTTTCTTCTGTTCCCGCACCAGAGCTGCATTGACATCAGGCCCTGTGGAGGGATAAACACAAAGAACACAGTTAGAGAGGCACCTCTAACTGTGAGTGGGGAAGCCTGGCAGGCTATGCAGATATGGAGTGTGAGTGCTGACCCCTGAGTCCTAACCCACAACCCCTTGACACTGGATCTCACCAGGGTTCCTGTTCTATGCTGCTCTGAAAAGCCAGTAACAATTTCACCTGACATTTTGCTGAACCCCAGGTCCATCTGCCTTTCAGAGAAGACCCCTATCATCACCAGCATACTCTTTTAGGGGAACCCCCAGACCTCCTCCATGGACCTGCGAGCCCCTTGAACAAACTGTGCTAACTTCCACAGCAAGCACTCCTTGCTAAGAGAAGCTGCTCCTCCCCCTGTGGACAGACTCAAGGCCTGGAGGATGCCCTGCGAACCTCTGCAGCTCCCTTCCAAACTGATCCAGAGCTGTTCCTCCTTGCCCACCTTCCTTTCCACCCTCCATCTCCAACACACTCATTCTTCTAAAGAGGGTCAAGACATTCCTACAAGACTGTGGTGCCAGGCAGGGGCACTGGAGCTGTGTGGCCTCCAACCCCACCCTGCTTGACCCACTCTGTGACTGGGGAAGAAGTCTCAGTTTACTCACCTATAAAGGGGGACTGATAATATAATCTAAGCAGGGGACAGATATGTTGGAACACAAATACACCTCCCTACTGCTGTTTTCTCCAACATTACCATCTGGAGTAACTAGAGATGGTAACATCTCTAATGTTACCATCTAGTGTAAGAACTGCTCCCAGGGTATTACACTAAGAGGGACAATGCCCTCTCCCTGATGGCTCCGTTTAACTCTCCTCGTTGGGGACCTCTCTGGGGGCCTAGGAGATTAAGTTTCAACACCATAACCTCTGAGGCCTGAGTTTGATCCCCCGCTAGGGAGCTGACCCAAATGGCATAGCAGACATTTCCTGTTTCACCCACTGCTCCCCTCAGCAGTGTATTTTAGTAGATTTGCCTTCTCTGCTCCCCACTCCGTCTCTGAGGAATCCTCTCACCCCCACATCTCTGGCCTGTACCCCAGTTCTTGCATGCATAAATAAATAAATCTTTCAAAAATTTTAAAATATAAATTAATATAAATCTCTTGACTGGGGCAAGGGAGGCCATGTTCAGTGAGCAGGAGGATACAGAAAAGAGAACAGCTGAGCATGTTCTTTGTTAACATTAAGTGGAAAGCTTTCTGGAAGATGTCAACAATGCATAAACTATCAGTGCTCACAGACTTAGACTTTCTCTACGGAAAGATTGGAAAATGAGGTTAAAGATTCAGTCACAAGTAGAATCCTCGCAGCATTGGCAAGAGTAGTGGAAAGTCAGAAAGAATCCCATGTCCAGTAGCTGGGAACTGGCAAATTAGTCAAGATTGATTCCTACGGTAGGACATATTTTCAAACCACAAACTGTCACCCATTTATGAGTCATGAAATCAGTTTTGTAGATAACACCAGCAGTTTTTAAAACTATTGATAGAATAGAAAAGGACATATCACAGAGTACTCTGTGGACAGAAGGGGCAAGTATTATTTGGTGAAATATTTGTTCTATTCCTGCCCGTCTAAGCCTGGGTTGTTACACATCACTTCTCCATACATCTCTTGCTGAAATTTAAGTGGCTAAAATTTCAGCAATAGGCACTGGGAAAACATACAACCACTGAAACTCTGTTGACAAAGAAAGACGTCTACACTTGGTAAGTGCAAAACTACAGTTTCCAAAGCAAGAAGTACTGTGGCAGTGGCTGTCCCTGTGACAGTACTGTGAGTGTTCCTTGCATTTCACCTGTGACTCACAGTCCCTAAGATGTTGGAATCATCTGCAGGAGAAGCCTGACCATGCACTGGCAAGAGACCCAGGCACTCACCTAAGTAGCTGAGGATGACTGGCAGGAAGACCAGCCCATGCAGCAGGCCCAGCAGTGTGATGAGGAGGTTGAGGCGGAAGAAGAAAATCTGAATGAGCTGGGCCTTGGCCAGACCCAGGATAAGGATGCCAGGCAGGTTGGTCATGGCCACTCCAGCAAATACCTAAGGGTCACAGGTGAGTGTCAGGCCAGCACAGGTCAGTCAACTGAGGACTTCGGTGGTGGTTCACCCACTTACCGCACTGCCCATGGAAATGGTGGCCTCCTTGGCCCTCTCCAGCCGGGTGGGTTTGGTGCTGATAGCAAAGGAGCGGGTGATATGAGACACAAACTCCACAGAAATGCCCACTGCCTGCGGCCAGAGAGGGAGTATTCATCACAAAAGAGCCTAATGGGTGGAGGTGCCAATAGGGCACCTAGACTCTAGAAAAAAACTGGGCATGTCCAATGAGGCCTGTGCCCACCCTGAGCCTGGGCCTTGCATCAGTGAGTTTACCATGACCAGGTTGATGAGGGACACAGCATTGTAGCTGATATCCCACAAAACCATGAAGCCCACGGTGTCCACAAGGATCATGATGATGGTGAACAGGTTGAGGAGCCCGGAGCGAAGGTCCATGCCCAGCAGCAGGCAGCAGACGGCAAATGTGGGCAAGAGGCAGATACTCAGCATGAAAAGCCCCTCAGGGATGATGGTCAGGTACTGCTCATAAAACACGTTGCTGATCCTGTGGGTTGCAGAGAATTGTCACCACTTGGGTGATGTGGACTCCATGTCATTTTAAGACTAAACAGGTTTAGACAGGACACGGGGGTTTGCAGTCGGTGGAAAGATGGGCAGTTCCAGGCACAGGGAAGCCTGTCAGCAGAAGCCCATTCAGATATCCTGGCCACCCTTGCCAGCTGGTACCCTCATTCCATCCCACCTCCCTGTGGCTATGCCCAGGACCTCACGTGTAGGGGAAGACCTCAAAGTCCGGGCTGGTGCCTGGCACCTTCCGGAGGTCAGCAGTTATGTTGGCTGCCAGTGCCCGAGATGCCCGCAGAGCTTCCGTGAAATCCTGGGAGTTCCTCAGAGGCGTGTGGTAGGCCATGAACCTCGAAGCTGGGCCACCACAGTCAGGCAGAGGAAGCAAAGGTTAGATATTCGCAGATGTTCCCAATACAGATGTTCCCAGAAGCCCTAAGGGATGTGCCCTCCTGGGGTCAGGGTTCTACTTCCATTTTGAAATTCTTACTAAATTTTGAGCAAGGGGGTCCTGAACCTTGGTTTTAGCACTAGCTCTCCAAAATCTGCAGCAGGTCAAGACCTGAACCCCTGCCCTGCCTCTGATGGACAGAGCCTAAAGAAATAGCCCTAAGAGCCCCAAAACATTCCATGTAGTTTCAAAACATATATTAATTGAATTACTTTTCCAAAGTGCATATCATATAGGAAAAGCCAGAAAGGAAGATAGAAAAACACAAATGGTTGACATATCAGGGCTGTGGTTTAGGCCATCAATATGTAAGTACAATATTCATTCATCTACAGCTGCCCACAGCCCACATCTTAGTGTGATTTGTAAATGCAAGGAAGGGATGTGGGTGGTTTCCAGGTGTGGCATCCGCAACTGACAGTGGATTAGGGGAGGGGAGGGAGGGGAGGGTAAGGTAAGATGTGAAGGCTGGAATGGCCCCTGAGGACGAGTGTGGTCAGAAGTCCCCATGAAGGAGGAAGGAAACAAGGGAAGGGGTTGAGATGCTGTTCCTCGGGATGTGCAGGCTTTCCAGGCCCCCCTCGCCCCCCCCCATGCTGACTTTGGCCCCCTCTCCAAGTGAGATCATGCTTACCTAAAACTGAGCGGTTGGAACCCAAGACCACGGAGGTGCTGTATGCTCCCAGACCACTGTGAGGAGAAGGCAGAGCAAAGGCTGAGCCGGGGCAAGGTGCCCTCTTGCCCTCTGCCTCTAGGTCCGTAGCCTCCTCCCCATGATGTGTTTCCCCCAAGCAGAGTCCACACAGCAGCCTCCCCTGTGGAAGCTTACCCTTTGGAACACTTGATATTGGGCAGGTCTTTTAGGAACAAGGGAAGGTACTTATAGAACTCCTCCACGGTTGGACGGATGATTTCTTTGTTGCTCACGCAGTGTCTCAAGCAAATTGTGTCTACAAAGAGAGAGGGAATCTCTGGCAATGCACTCAGCCCTTCTCCCCTCTGTTTCTACAGCAGGCCCACAGCCTGGGTCACTCTAAAGCAACTGCCTTAGTCTCTAACTGTGGAAGCAATCCTCTCTCACACCTACGAGCAGACGAGGAAGGGAAGTTTGGGACAGAGAAATAGCCCCCAAGGGGCCTCTCTACTCTACTTACAAACAGAGCTACTGGGGTGAGGGCCATTTGTCAACCTCAGCTCTTGCTCTTGGATCCTGCTGCCCATTATGCCTGCCAGCATTGGCACAAGTGGTCTAGGGGAGGGCACCAGTGTGTGATTGCAGTACAGCTGGACACTATCACCCACAAGGTGTTTTGAACCAATGCCTCACCATACCAAGCCTCACCATACCAAGTGTGCAGGAGGACAGGAGGGCATGAGAGGATCTCGCCATTCCTCTCTTGCCTCAGTTTCCCCAAGCTGTGGTGGCCATGACCTCCGGAGTTCCTGTACTTACTGACAGTTGAGGGGCAGAAATGGCCAGTGGCATTAAGGCTGCAGCAGGGCCAGCGCAGCCAGTCAATGAAATCATCCACCCAGGAGGAGGCAGGGATGGCCAAGTAAGATCTGAGGGTTGGAAAAAGAGGGGCAGGGGACAAAAGACAGACGTGAGTCCATCCTGGGTCTCCGCTGGCATACCAGGCCTCCTCAGGCGCATGGAAGCACATGTAAAGTAGGGTGGACACAGAGAGGCAGGAAGGAGGTTATAGGAGAGGGGGCACAGACTGGGTGGGCTGAACACTCACATTTCAGGGAACTTGGAGGCATAATGAATCTTCTGAGTTAAGGAGAAATTGTCACAGCCAGCACTGGAGCAGATAGCGTTCAAACCCTCTGTGCTGGAAAAGTTGTAGCCCCCGGTAGTGACAAAATATACAGGAGCCCCAATCTCAAAGTAGCGATTCAGAAACTGGAAATAGTTGATCAGGTAAGAGTCCTGAATGAAAGAAAGTCAATGAAGATAGGGTCAGACACCCAAAGTGTCCACCCACAGTTGCCCTCACAGAGATACACACTCACCAAGGAACATGCACAGTGGTACACACTCACTGAGGTACATGCTGGCTGAAGTACAGCTCACAGAGGTATACACTCCCAGACGCAGATCTCACTGAAGTACATGTTCACAGAGGTACACGGTCATTATAGAGATACATGACTGGAGGTGTACACACACAAATACAAGCTCCAACATACACACACTCAGGTGTTATCCCAGGTACACACACAGAATACACTCATGAAGATAAAAATGAAAAGCAATATGCCCCACCTGACATGAACACACTCTGACACACACATAAAGGTGCACACACACATAAGTTTACCCCTTCCTATCATTCTCAATATGGCACAGTCATGGTCTAACAAGCCATCTATAACCACACCCCACATGCAAGTGCATATGTAAAGATCATGGTGTGCACACCCATGAAGCTACCATTAGGTAGTTTCATGGCCTACCTCCTTCTCCTATTACAAAACTTCAGTGACAGGGCCCTCCCTAGTAGCGCAAGGGTTAAAGTGAAGCTATCCACAGCCACACAAGCACAGACCCCCAGCCAGGGAGCTGACGCACACGGTGCGTCTTCTGTCTCATCCACTGCTCCCCTCAGCAGTGTATTTCAACCAATATGTCTGTTCTGCTCCCCACTCTGTCTCTAGTAAATCTTCTCACGACCCCCCCCCCAATATTCTTCTGGCCTATACCCCAGTTCTTGTATGCACCTTCCTTGGAGAAACTAGAGTGGGCAACAAGTATTGTATCCCCTAAATGTCAGACATCTATGTTTTGTTGGTTTACTTTTGATTTCAGTGATTAAGACACAGAGGCAGGCTATAATTGTTGAGCCTCTACCACCCCCAGATGAAGTCACTTCCAAGTTATTTAAAGGAAAGAGAGCTGATTTATTGTCTTCCCCTTCATTACCTCCGTTTTCTTCTTTTTGGAAGCCAGACATTTAAGGAATAGGAAGGTCAAAATCAATAACAAATACAGAGAGATCTAGACAATTAACTAGACATACTCAGCAAAAAAAACATAGAAAATATCTGAGAGAACTTTACACCTCAGACTGATCCCCAACACAGAGGCACAAAAAAATATCAAAATTTAAAAATAGCAAACATGGTGCAATGGGTTAGGACGCAGCACTGCAGGCGAGCCACAGCCGCTTCAGTGAAAGTTCAATCCCCGCCCCAAGATGTGATCCACATGGCGTAACAAACCTCTCCTGACCAGCCCACTGCTCCCCCCAGCAGTGTGTTTTGTAGATCTGACTGTTCTGCTCTCGGCTCTGTCTCTGGTGAAGCCTCTCAC